TTTTACAAAATATTACTAAAATATTTATTCAAATATTTATCTCTAACGTATTAACCATTTATCATCTGTAATACTATCGTGTAACCACTAGATGGCTGTTTAGCTCTCTATATATAAACATATAAACATGGCTGTGTGTTCCCTAGTGGCTGGGAACTTTGGATTCCCACATAATTAGTGACTTGTATTTGGATATATATTTAGACATTATTAAAGACATATCAAAGTTTTTGTATTAGTCAAATCTGGACACAAAGAAAGCATTTTGTTACTCATTCTTGCTTCATATAATAGCTTGATCAGTAGGGGTCGACCGATATGTGTTTTTCAGGGCCGATGCCGATACCGATGGTGTTGGTTGAGTGTAGTACTCCCACAGTAAACTCTTTATTTTAAAGAGTTAAACTCTTTATTTTTTGGCAAACTCTTTATTTAATGGGTTTACCATTAAAATTAAAACATGGAAGAAATAGCGTATTGTGTGATTATTCTTTTAAACAAAAGTTGTAATAATTGTTGTAGTAGTCAGGGGTTAAAGCAAAAAAAAAAATCTTTTGACTGAATTTTTCCTCGGCCAAACCCCATTCCACAGCCATACCTGTCACACCCAGTTTAAGAGCAGTGTTTTTCTTCTTGTAATCAAGAGCGCTTGTCCTCCTAATTTAAAAAAATTAAGGAGCACCTTCTGATTAATATCAAAAATTCTGATCAAAAATTTGCCTTCCTAATATGAGGGGAAGTGATTTACAGGGGCATTTTCTGTTTACCTTTGCAATGGCATCATTTTCATCTGTAAAATTCAAAAAATTATGTTTATAAGCTTTTTAAAATTTCTATTTAAAACTATATAATAAGAAGTAGAATAAGACAAATAAGTTACCAATCGTGAAATTAGTATTAATGAAAAATTAATTTGTACTACAGAGGTGGCACAGAAGAACACAAAAGTGGCTTGTAGGTACATTTTCAGACATTCAGTGAGGCTCAGAGGTGGCATGAGTGCAATTAAATTCATGTGGAGATTAATGTTTTAAATACAATTTTGAATACAGAAATATTAAATGATTTATATAACTGCAATTATACCTAAAAATGAAACTGAAACCGCCAGCAGGCGGCGCAAATCACGTATTTTATCACTGAATCATTCATTCAATTGATTCGTTCGAACGTCTGATTCATTCAGGAATGAAGCAAGTGACTGTCTTTATGAATGGGTAATCATGAATCACTGACTCACTAGATTCGTTCAAAAACGCACTTTCATTCATGAATGAAACACCGCTGTGCTTTTAGAGATGTGAACCGGCTGTGTGTGTACTTTATTTGGAACTATTTTCGTTGATGAAATAGAGCAAAATCAGGCAGTACATGTTTATTGAACTGTTGTATTAAATCAATATCACATTTGCAAACTCCTTGAATAATTATTAAAATCTGTCACTCTCCTTATCGCGATCTGTGGGCGCACAGAAAATGAGAGCGCGCAAGTGAGTTCTCAAGACTCAAAAGCACGTGGAAATGATACGTTCCGTCATCGGTCATCGCGTTATAAGCGCGGAACCTGCGGGAATGAGTAGAATTATTATTAATAGCCACATATCACATTTGCCAACTGCTTGAATAATTATTAAAATCTGTCACTCTCCTTATCGCGATCTGTGGGCGCACAGAAAATGAGAGTTCTCAAGACTCAAAAGCACGTGCAAATGATACGTTCCGTCATCTGTCATCGCGTTAAAAGCGCGAAACCTGCGGGGATGAGTTATTATTAATAGCCGCAATCTTGCGCGTGAAATTTAAGACCTGCTCTGTGTTCTCTGCTAATAACCCGACTGTGGATGATGCGAGCGGCGTTATGTTGTCAGTGAGAAGCTGCAGCCGTGGCGGGGAGGATTTTTGGTGTGCTGGTGTTCTGACAAATAATGCTACCTATCAGATTATGCTACCAACAAATCGTCAGAACACCGGCAGAACAACAACAATGTGCTACATGTTTCTTTTCCCCTCATTTTTTCCAATTGACGGAAATCCGTCGTAGCGACGGAAAACTTTCATCCCTGAGTAGTATTATGTACATCATACTGCACCACAGTAATATATTTCTGATAATTCATTAAGCTAACCCGGACTTCTATTTTGACGTGTTGCCATGAGGAACTTGTTTCTGTAGGTCTATGTAAATGATATGAAGATAGTTTTACTCCAATGAAACTGTCAAATGCACATGAAGTGAGGAGTCAGAGCAGTTCTGGAGATGTTGTTCATGTATTTATGTCCTCATATAGTGATACGACAGAAGCTGAAATCACCGCGCGTCTGTTC